GGCTATTAATGGAATTTAATTCTAACAGAGAGACAAAAATATAAAAATTTCTAAATCCGATAAGTCCCAATTCGAAGTCCAATTTCTTCTTCGCGAAGTTCTCTTCGTATCGACGAAATCCTAAATCATCGTCAAAAATGTCGGGAAAAGGAGCCAAGGGACTGTTAACAGGGAAAACACCGGCATCAAAGGACAAAGACAAGGATAAGAAGAAGTCCGTTTCTCGCTCCTCTCGCGCTGGACTTCAGGTCTCTTTTGAAATTTCCGAATTCGTCGATTTTCTTGCATTTTTCTATTATTTTTTAATTATTTTTATTTTACTTTTTATTTATTTTTTTATCTATATTTTGTTCATTTTTAAGAGCTTCGTGTAATGGGCACGATATAGGTATATTTGATTGGCACATAGAAAACCCTGATTCCGAAAAAGGAAAACTTAAATTTGTTATTTAGCTGGAGAAATCGTGGGTGAGAGTATATTTTCGCATAATTTAAGTTTTTTTTTTTGTATAACCGTGGATGTCCATGGCAACTTGCGCACGCCTCGACCGACTAATTGAGCAATCACTCAGGTTTTTCTTTTTCGTAGTTTCTTTACTTAAAAACTATGGAGGGATTTGAGAATAGGTACTCATGAGGTGCAAGAAACATTCGCAGCTGCAGAATTTGGGTCCAATAATTGGAATGTGTACTAGTTAAATCCAAATCTTAATACACATTGCCTGATTTTAGTTGTAAATAATCCAATTATAGTCCATGAAACATGGCATTAGAGAAATGTCTGAAAGATAGAGGATGGATGACATTCTAGATTTCTAGTTGAGGAATTTTTTGCAAGGGTGAAAAGCAAGTTCCTAGTGAAAGAGGAAGCCCATCATGTATGATGTATGCAATTTAATTAATCACATGAGGAGCTAATTTTACTAATTATTACTTTTTAAGGTTAGAACTGCACTCCACTCGTGCTGTTGCTTAGGGAAAACAAGGAAAGTGATTTTATCTATGAACTATAAGTTTGTTGAGTGTTAAAGCAAAGTATTAAGAATTAACTGTCTGGATCTGAATCATGTATCCTTTGTATTGTTTTGTGCCCTGAGATGATGTGCCACAAAAGATGAAAAAAATCTGATAAAAAATATATTTCTGATGGAGGGACGTCAGAAGAAGGGAACTACTCGGGCATTTGTTATCCGAATTTCAACACTAAAACGATTGTAAGTGGAGCAAAATAAAGAAAAAATTATACTTTTGTACCAGCTAGCTGCATCTGTTTTCTTGAGGCTTTATTAAGTGAAATTTTATTTGATGATGGACTAGATTTCTTTGATTGCTGTGAACTATAAAAGTTAACAACTTAACATTCAAGTCATTAGAACATCTAATTCTCATATAGAAGTGCTCTCTCACTAGTCACTTCTACTCCATTTTTGCCATGTCAGTGGGTAGGACAAATATTTGACCATTCTTGAGGACCAGATTTGGAATATATATATGTGTGTGGGTGTGCGCGCGCGCGCGCTTCAATGGCTGTCTTTTTTCTTTTGTTTCAGAAGAAAATTACATTAGGGCAACTCCAACCCAAAATGCCAAATTGGTGTATAAATGCTCATCCAACTCACTTCAAATCTTGACACCAAATTGGTGTAATGAATCAACTTCAAGTCTTGACACCAAATTGGTGTGATGGACATTGTTGCACTTTTGTTGCAACATTGTTTATCTGATGTAATTTATAGAGTTTTTCATGTTTCTTAGCCCTTGTTTGGGCTCCATTATTCCACATTATAATGAGAGGAATAGTAATTTTTCGGAAAATATGTAGTTAAAAAAGAAGGAAAAGATTTTATATTTACATGTAATATTATTTTATTGGAGAATGTGTGGGTGATAAGAAGATAGAGAAAAATGAATTTTAATTTAATGAGGGCTAAACAGGGGCTTATTTTGTCATTCATTTCATACAACAACAGATTTTAATTCCTATTATATCTTTTTATTACTTAATGATTTATATTCTGATTTTTTTATATATATATATATATGTAATTTTTTAAATATTGTGATGTTAAAGGTAATATTTTTTTCTGTGGTATCAAGTGTAATGCCATTTTTTGTAATTTATTGATAAAGGCAATATTCAAGTTAATTAAAGTAAATTTTTATTTAGTAAGTACTAGCAATAGAAGTTGTAATTAATTTTTGTTGAGAATTAAGGAATAAGGAAAAGAAGGAAACACTTTTCATTTGGTGTAATTGGTTGGAGAAGACTAAATAAGATGGTGTGAAAGTTGCACCATTTTAATGAAATAAATGGGTTGGAGATGGCCTTATGAGCATATACAAAAACTCAGTTAGTGAAGTTGCCAACAGTCGAAGTTACTACTAGATGGATTACTCGAATCTCTCTGTGTTTATGTGACACTTTTGCTGTATCACTTTCCTATGGGATGGTATACTATCTGTAGATACCACTCTAGTTCAAATTCATGATAACATGTTAAAGCAATTTGTTGGGTGTTTTTACAACTGGTCCTCGTTGACTTCAACATTAGTTATCAGTCGTGGACATTACGTACTTTCTCCCTGGTCCAAATGTTTGACTCATTTTGTGGGAGAAAAATATTATTATAACCTTCGAAATCTTTATTGTCTGCCATTTCTGTTACAAACTTGATTGCTGATTTTCTAGCCTTTTCATTTTTTCGAGTTCCATGTAACAGAAATAGACGAGATTCTAACTCGTTACTTCTTCATACAGTTTCCTGTGGGTCGTATCCACCGACTTCTGAAGTCAAGAGTTACTGCTCATGGAAGAGTAGGTGCTACGGCTGCTGTTTATTCTGCAGCTATTTTGGAGTACCTTACTGCTGAAGTTTTGGAGTTGGCTGGTAATGCGAGCAAGGACTTGAAGGTCAAGCGTATCACGCCTCGGCATTTGCAGCTGGCTATACGTGGAGATGAAGAACTCGACACTCTAATCAAAGGAACCATAGCCGGTGGTGGAGTGATCCCTCATATACACAAGTCACTCATCAACAAATCCTCCAAGGAATAGACGATAATGATATTGCTATTAGGCTTAAGCTGTGTAGACTGCGGATGTTCTATTTGTGGCATGTTTTGATGCAAACAATGAATGATTGGTTTTCTTTCAGCCATTTCATTTGTATGTGATGGTGTAGCATCATTTCAATTGTATCACGTTAATGCACTAATGCAAACATGGACAAACTTGTTTTTGTTATATGTGAGATATGGTTGTAGCGTCCCTATCAATGCATTATTTTCGTGTGAGTGGGGGATTTGGAAATGACAAAAATGAGAAAGTAGAAGCATAACACATTCCTTGAGTAATTCCTGTCAAAAATATAGCACCACGAGGTCACAAGAATGATGTCTCAGGTCGACTGCAATTACACTTTCAAATGGAATCTACAAAACGGCATGAATTCCTGGCAAATACAAACAGGGCATTTTTTACAGACAAACAAACTATTTACTACCTATGCACCATAAAAAAAAAAAAAAAAATTCAGTCGTTCAAAGAAGGAACTTCAGCTTAAAATATTGAAGAGCTTGATCTACGGGTTCTTCTCCTTAGCAGAGTTTATAGTCCCAAGAGCTTTCCACACTGCACTTTTACATTTGAACCCAGATCCAATGGCTATCTGCCATGTACTGTCTCCTCTTAATCCTCCCTCTGGCCTCTGAATATGCCATTTCGCACCAAAGAGAGCTGCTCGGTGTGTTACCAATTCGGTGAAGTGTCATTCTCGAAGGCCCCATGTGCCAATTCGATAGCTGCAGGTTTTTCTCTAGTTCGTTCAACACTGCTTTTCCACCACCGTGAATGCAGAAATGTTCGAAAGCCANTTCGTTCAACACTGCTTTTCCACCAGCGTGAATGCAGAAATGTTCGAAAGCCAATTTGAAATCTGGAATATAAGGCTTCAACTTCATCTTAAACAGCTTTCTCCCGATCGGACTGGCAAAGAAAAGCATTCAGGACCTGGGAAGCACAAGAGGACCCAAAGTTGTAATATTAGTCTTCAAAGCATCACAAGCTACTGCCATAAAATCCTTCGACAGAGAAACCCCGACTTTTCCGTTGGAATCCTCCAATTAGGTTAAGCGAGAAAAGCATTTATCATCTGAACCTTTGTGGGTTCTAACAGCATGGACCAATCTGTAGCAAGATCGATCGAGGTCAATCCAGGCTTCAAGTATTCAGATGAACTCGTAGAAGATCTTTAGAAAGATCGATCGAGGTCAATCCAGGCTACAATCCACAATCACAATCAAAATCCCAATGCCCTTTGGTTTTACGAAGGTTTTGGAAAGAAGCTCATCAATGGCACCAAACCTTACAGCTTCAGCTTCTTTCCTCCCTTCGAGCACTAACTCAGTTCGCCGGATTTGTTATTTCTTACTGTAATTAAC